CTGACGATGCGCACCCCTGGCTTGGTGCGTGGAGCCGGAACGGGCCGTACCAGGCTGACGATGCGCACCCCTGGCTTGGTGCGTGGAGCAGGAACGGGCCGGACCGGGCTGACGACTCGCACCCCTGGCTTGGTGCGTGGAGCAGGAACGGGCCTTACCGGGCTGACGACTCGCACCCCTGGCTTGGTGCAAGTGGCAGGAACAGGCCGGGCCGGACTGGCGACGCGCACCGTAGGCTTGGTGCGAGTGGCAGGAACAGGCCGGGCTGGGCTGGCGACGCGCACCGTAGGCTTGGTGCGAGTGGCAGGAACAGGCCGGGCCGGGCTGGCGACGTGCACCATTAGCTTGGTGCGGGGAGCAGGAACAGGCCGGGCTGGGCTGGCGATGCGCACCGTAGGCTTGGTGCGGGGAGCAGAAACAGGCCGGGCCGGGCTGGCGACGCGCACCGTAGGCTTGGTGCGAGGGGCAGGAACAGGCCGGGCCGGGCTGGCGACGCACACCATCAACTTAGTGCGGGGAGCAGGAACGGGCCGGACCGGACTGGTGACGCACACCACTTGCTTGGTGTGAGGAGCGGGACTGGGTTTCGTCATAACCCTCCGCTCCCTCAGCTGCCTACACAGTTCCTCTCGCCGTGCCTCTACTCTCACCTTCTCCCTTATCGCCTCCAGTAGCTCCACCCTCTGCACCACTAACTCCTGCTCCCTCTGCTCCAATAGCCCCCTTAACCTGGTGGCCTCCTCACCTAACCTCCTAATACGCCCTGTAGCTGCCTCCTGCTGCCCCGTCGCCCATGCCGTGTGCCCCCCCCTAAAAAATTTTTGGGGTTGCCTCTCGTCCGTCCGACGATGACACTGTTGACGCCGTTGCTCCTCTCTCCGTCGCGCCTCTACCGTCTCCTTCCATGGACGGCGATCCATACCGGCCTGGATTTCCTCCCAGGTCCAGGACCCCTGCCCGTCCATTATCTGCTCCCACGTCCAGTCTGCCTGCTCCTGGACACGCTGCTTGGTCCTGGTATGGTGGGATCTTCTGTCACGATCGTTGAACGGAGTAGACCAAGGCGCAGCGTGATGAGCGAACATACTATACTTTATTTAATGAATACACGATAAACAAAACAACAAAACGATAACGTGACGTCCTAGATCAAACACAACCAACACGGAACAAACCAAAAGGAACAAGATCCCACAAACACTATGGGAAAACAGACTGTTTAAATATGGTTCCCAATCAGAGACAACCAGCAACAGCTGACACTTGTTGCCTCTGATTGGGAACCACTCTGGCCAACATAGAAATACAAAACTAGATTCCCGACATAGAACAACAACACATAGAATCTACACACCCTGGCTCAACATATACAGTCCCCAGAGCCAGGGTGTGACATGTTCATGAGACAAGCTTGTTACACCTGTTCTCTGCAGATCCTCTCAAGCTCTGTCAGGTTGGATGGGGAGCGTCGCTGCACAGCTATTTTCAGGTCTCTCCAGAAATGTTCGATCGGGTTTAAGTCCGGGTTCTGGCTGGGCCACTCAAGGACATTCAGAGACTTGTCCAAAGCCACTCCTGCGTTGTCTTGGCTGTGTGTTTAGGGTTGTTGTCCTATTGGAAGGTGACCCTTCGCCCCAGTCTGAGGTCCTGAGCACTCTGGAGCAGGTTTTCATCAAGGATCTCTCTGTACTTTGCTCCGTTCGTCTTTGCCTCGATCCTGACAAGTCTCCCAGTCCCTGCCGCTGAAAAAAATCCCAAAAAGCATGATGCTGCAATCACCATGCTTCACTGTAGGGAGGGTGCCAGGTTTCCTCCAGACGTGACACTAGGCATTCAGGCCAAAGAGTTCATTCTTGGTTTCATCAGACCAGAGAATCTTGTTTCTCATGGTCTGAGAGTCCTTTAGGTGCCCTTTGGCAAACTCCAAACGGACTGTCATGTGCCTTTTACAGAGGAGTGGATTCTGTCTGGCCACTGTACCATAAAGGCCTGATTGGTGGAGTGCTGCAGAGATAGTTGTTCTTCTGGAAGGTTCTCCCATCTCCACAGAGGAACTCTGGAGCTCTGTCAGAGTAACCATTGGGTTCTTGGACACCTCCCTGACCAAGGCCCTTCTCCCCCGATTGCTCAGTTTGGCTGGTTGTTCAGTTTCCATTTAAGAATGATGGAGGCTGCTGGGGACTTTCAATGCTGCAGACATTTTTGGTACCCTTCCCCAGATCTGTGCCTTGACACAATCCTGTCTCAGAGCTCTACGGACAACTCCTTCGACCTCATGGCTTTGTTTTTGCTCTGACATACTATAGGACCTGATATAGACAGGTGTGTGTCTTTCCAAATCATGTCCAATTAATTCTAAAACCCAGTTTTTTTCTTTGTCATTATTGGGTGTTGTGTGTAGATTGATGAGGATTTCTTTTTATTTAATCAATTTTAGAATAAGGCTGTAACGTAACAAAACGTGGAAAAAGGGAAGGGGTCTGAGTACTTTCAGATTGCACTGTATATACAGTACCAGTCAAAAGTTTGGACACACCTACTCATTCAAGGGTTTTTCTTTATTTTTACTATTTTCTACATTGTAGAATAATAGAAAATGTCAAGAGCGTGCAAAGCTGTCATCAAGGCAAAGGGTGGCTATTTGAAGAATCTCAAATCTCAAATATATTTTGATTTGTTTAACACTTTTTTGGTTACTACATGATTCCATATGTGTTACTTCATAGTTGTGATGTCTTCACTATTATTCTACAATGTAAAAAATAGTAAAAATAAAGAAAAACCTTTGAATTAGTAGGTGTGTCCAAACCTTTGAATGGTACTGTATATAAAAAAAAAAAACTCTAATAAATTACATTACTAGCAAAAATATTGTAATCAGATTAGGCTACAGATACTTTTGAAAAACTAGATGATTACTTCTTGGATCACTTTTCAATTCAGAAAGAATGTTTGCAAGAAAAAATATATATTATGACACCTTTCTGTTTACTCAATGACATTCAATTCAGCATTGAAAAAAGGTGCAGGTTTAAGTTTGTTCCACCTGAGCGCGTCTAACCACAAGTCAGAGACCACTATGATGACACACCAAATGCGTTTGATGGATCCTTTTTGTCTTCTTCTAATGCCTCTTAAGGCAAAAGTAATCCAAAAGTAATTGAAAGTAATCTGATTACGTTACTGAGTTTGTTTAATCAAAACTTGTGTTTTGGACAGGTAACTAGTAACTGTAACGGATTACATTTAGAAAGTAACCTACCCAACCCTGACTGGCTGGCTAGCTAGCTAACAAACTTACTGTGCAGATAATGTTTTACACAATATCTTATCACAGCAATGGCTGACCTTTTATACCGTCATAAGAAGGTTCCTGTCCATTTTAGTATTCTAATTCCTAATTATATGGTGTTCATCCTGTATCTCTAACATCTGACAACAAACTTTGCAGACATTTTCTTTACTAGAAGCCATGGAAACCCAATGTGTAATGGAAAGTAAACCATATTTAAGACCAAAATACACATTAGAATCCACATATCCCTAAAAAAAAAAACACTATTGTCAGAGACACACAGACGTGGAGCAGATGTACAAACACAGACAGAGACACAGACCTAACATGCTCACACCCAGTTGCCCACACATACACACACACACACACAAACAGCAGACACAAACACACAACAACAAGAGCAGAATTACAGGCATGAACATTCTCAGATCTCAAAAACATCTGTACCTGTTTGAATCTATGGTTCAGGTTTCTGTTACATTACTGATATATTAACTCTATTATAAGTGTTGATGCCGGAGTAAACTCAAAATGCATTTTCCCACAGCTGCTGACAATTACCGCTATATATGTTTTTTGCATATTCTTTACAGTATTATTACCATAGCGAATGGAATATAATTACTGTTATTAAGCATATCTAACAACCCTAGTCAATTATGTTTGCCTTTGGTGTGTAACTAAGTCTAACTTAATTTGTGTGATTTAGGCCTTATGACTTATTACATTTTGCCAAATAGTATCCAGCTACCATATGGTTGCCAGTGGGAAAGAGGCGTCCATGATGTGGTCTCTTATTTCCCTTCCATACAGCCTGGTTTGTGGCCCAGTCCTTACAGAACCAAAGTTCTGTCTCTTTCTCTCTCTTTCTAAATCATCATTGATCACATTGCTGCTTAGCGCAATCATCTACTCTTTTAATAACTTCATTGCTATTGTATGCTGTCAGTGTTTATTGGATCCGGCTGTGTTTAGAAGGTTATTTCCCGATTGGGTTGCTCTGACACAGTTGTTTTGGCTGTTGTCATAACTAAGGTATGCATTGGCAGAAGGGGATTGGCTTGGAAACGAGGCAAAGGCTTCTCTCACTGCACTGCACCCGCTAAAACATGACATATGACTGGGGGGCTGACAACAGAGAAGAGATTGTGTGAAAGAGAGAGAAAGAGTCCAAAACTCAGTGCTGTTCATTAGGACCCACATCTGGCCCTGTGGCTGAAGAGTTGCGGTGCGTAATCTTGATTAATCTTTTAGTGTTTGCCACTCTGTTTAAGGCATATGTTGTTTTACAGGGGAATCTGCTGTGTTTTATAGTGCTATGACTAATGCTTATTATTTTAACAGGTTCCTGTATCTAGTCCCTCCAATTGTATCTCAGTCTGTCTGCTCTGGCTAGCTGGCACTAGGCACTAGAACAAGCTCCTCTCCCGCCAGGACACTGTTTTGTTTTCATTTCTGGTTGTATCTAATAGCTGGAATATAAACTGGGCTGTTTCTCAATTTAGAATTTAGAAGAAAGTTCTTAGATTTGTTAGATTAATATGCATACAAATCATGCACACTACCATTAAAAGAGCATGTCACCTGTTTGTGAATGTGGATGTTTGAGGTTGTGTATTACATACCCCCCCCCCCCCCCCCCCCTCTCTCTCTCTCTCTCTCTCTCTCTCTCTCTCTCTCTCTATCTCCCTCCCTCCCTCCAGAGCTGAGGATGTGGCTGTTGGTGGCCGTGGCTTTTCTTTGCCAGTGTGTGATTGGTCAGCTGCTGGAGGCCAAGGTAAGAGGAGCTCCACCTCGTCTGATCTGCAGTGTTCCGGGGTTGCCGGGGAGACCAGGTAAACCTGGCCCAAACGGGCCTCCAGGGACAAACGGGAATATGGGAATCCCAGGAAGAGACGGAAGAGATGGCAGGAAGGGAGAGAAAGGAGAGAAGGGTGAAGCAGGTACAGTGCTGACCTTCTATAACTCCATAAAACATATCCACACAGTTCATATATTGACTCATACTGTATATTTATTTATTTTCAACTTTAGCTCCATGAACATGCAATACAATATGGCAGTATCACTACAACATTAAAATGATTGCATCAAAACACACGTTTACACTACCAAAAATACATTTCAGTCCTTTTTCATTATCGTAACCCAGGCATTTCACAATCTGAATCTGCTCTGCAGATGGTTTTGCTCTCAGGACATACAGCTGCAGTGATTGGTGTAGAAGACAAATGGGACCCTCCAGTGATCTCTGAAATGGTGTTTATCAATCATGGTCAAACTACATTAGCTATATCTTACACAGCCATGTTTCACCAGGGAGACCATGATCCAGACAGATAAAGTTATGTGATGTGTGGTTTAAATCCAAGGTTTCTATGTGTCTGAGCTTCCCAGGCAGTTTGCCTTATTTGGGGTGTGTTTATACTTTCCCCACTGTTTGGACGCCTGGTTCTCCTGCCTTTGGAGTGATCCAGGCTAATACTTTATATGGGTCAACGCTACCATAGAAGCTGAAACAAAGGTAAATCACTGCCTCTGTTAGTGTCGTCCAAGTGCTTCATGGCTTTAAGCCCCCCCCCCCCAAAATGAGACATGAGCTCCCCTAAATGCAACAAAAGTCAAACTTGATGGGGTCTCTAATTTAACCATTCTCCTATTTATTTAAAATCAAATTTTGGACTGCTACAGTGGTAAACATAAAAATAAAAGCTTATTCCAAATTGAACGAACACCCCCGCCTCCCTGTCATGGTTTAAACCAGTGACAGTTGGTTCAGGTTCTTTCAATCGCATTCAACTCTCTACTCCCTTCTGTTTCTCTCTCCATCTGTCTTGAGATTTCTAGCAAACTTGCAACATTGTATTGACTAGGTCCAGCCCTCTAGCAAATTGCAACATTATCAACTCCCAGCTAGCACATGACATTCTGAGAACCATATGTTTCTTAGAGCTTGGTGAGAGCATGGTTGTCCTATGGATATTTTGCATACAATCTTTCCACAACTTTCTGGGAATGGTGCAGTATAGTTGCTTAGCTCTGGTACATTCTCATTACATTTAAGGAACTTGACAAAAACTTTATTTTCTTAGCATTTCATTCCTTTAACAGAACATTTCTTAAAAGTTCAAACGGTTACATTTAACGTTCTCCAACTGGTTTGACATTGGGAATGTTCTCAAATATTTCAGAGAACGTTAAGAAACAACGTTGTTCTGTAGGAATTTCAGTACTTCAGCACAACATTTCCTATAGGTTTCCTCATGGTTCTATTTAAAGTAATGTTCTCACATTGTTCCGAGAACGTTAAGAAACAACATTCTTCTGTGGGAATTTCAGTAGTTCAGCATAAGGTTTCCTACAGGTTTCCTCATAGTTGTATGTAAAGTAATGTTCTCAAATTGTTCAGAGAACGTTAAGAAAACTTTCCACAAAAAGCACAAGAAAACTTTAGTATCATTCGGAGAACTTTCTAAGAATGTTATTTAAAAACATATACATTCCATTCTCAGCATCAACAAAACTCTCTCTATCCTCTGTCTTCTTAAGTGTGTTCAGGCCGCGCCCACTAATTGGCCACACCTGATCGTAATGAGTCCTTTTTCCTTTGAAATGGGGTCTGTTTGAATAGACTAAAATGAACAGCTTTGTATGAGTTAAAAAACATGGCATGCTATCTTGGTGGCACAGTGGACTTTGATAGAGACAGAAGATCATAGGTTTGAATCTCACTGACTCTGTGCCACAATAAAAAAAAATGTGTTTGCATGATTAATGCCTAAGCAAATGAAATTCAATGTTTCCTATCTGTGCTTGGAGTTCAAAACAGTTAACCCAAACTAAGTTAGCAGTGTTATTGAAACATGTTCTTAGAATGTTATTTAATTACAAATCAAATAACCTTGAATTTCCGTTTCAGAAGATTAATAAAACCTCCCAGGAAAACCTTTTTTTTTTCCCTTTATTTTATATTATATATATATATATATATATATATATATATATATTTTTTTTTTTATTTTTTTTTTTTTTCAGGGAACCATAGTAAAACGTTCTCAGAACCTCCCTGCAACCTAAAAATGAACGTTCCCAGAACAGGCAAAATGTTCACTTCAGTTCTCAGAATGTTTACAAAACGTTTAATTTTACCAGTCAAGAAACGTATGGCTTCGTACCCAGAACCATTGGGAAACCAAAAGCGTACGTTCCTACAATTTCCAAGGAACCAAATGTGCTAGCTGGGCTAGGTCCAGCTCCCTAGCGAACCTACAACATTGTTTCAACCTGGCCCTCACAGTTTTCCACGCCAATTTCTTTATACAAAAAAGGTCCATTGTCAGCAAGAATCATCAATTAATTCAGGCTACAAGAGTTTAGGCCTAATGACAATCGCCGAATGTCATTACACTTTTTGCTGATAGCCGACTTTGCTGATCGCTACTGTACTTTATTGAGGAAAAGTGTACTTACTATGCCTGTGATATGTGGTTGTCCCACCTAGCTATCTTAAGATTAATACAAATACTGTAAGTCGCTCTGGATAAGAGCATCAGCTAAATTACTAAAATGTAAAATGTAACAGATGTTTCTTTCCCTTCATCAAATGGCAGGTGCACAGGGCACTGTTTGAATGCACAAGTAGCCTACTTTTTGAAATGATTTGAAAATCAGATGAAAACATCATGACTGGTTGTGTTTATGCCATATTAAAAGGTCAAACATGTTTACTGTTAAAATACATGTCTTTACTATTAGGCCCATAAAAAATAAAGCACGTGCACAAACAGGAAGTCCCTTGAAAAAAATAGAGATCCCCGAATGTCACGGTATAATTCGTATTCTGGCTTTAAGACAAATCCTGCATTAGTATCAGATGCAAAACATACTGTATCAATGACCCGTAAATGTCAGGCTCACAGTACCTGCGTTCTGCATGATGTTCTTCTACAGATTTACAGATTAAAAGGAACCTAGGCACGCAAATACCGCACAGACTCTTTCTCACACACACACATCAGAATTGCACTCATTTTTGAAGACATTCAGTACATGCACACACATGCATCCTGTCCATTCTTTCCTAGCTCCAAGAAAATTATTGTGTGATGGTTTGGTTTGATACAATCACAGATCTCACCACACTGTACAACAGTCAGTGCAGCACTGTCAAACAAACTGTAGATTGTGGCTGGACTCCGAGGGTGACATAATAACCAAGGATGGATGTGAGGCACTGAGCTTATTCACTAATCCTTAAAGCATGCATGAGAGCATCTGCTGGTCCTGACGACTGTGTGATCACGTGCACCGTAGCCGATGTGAGTAAGAGCTTTAGACAGCTCAACATTCACAAGGTTGCAGGGCCAGACGGATTACCTGTCACCCCTGCTCCTGCGCCTGCTCCCCCTCCCTGGCGCTCGAGGGCGCCAGGCTGCCCATCATTACGCACACCTGTCACCATCGTTACGCGCATCTACGCTTCATTGGACTCACCTGGACTTCATCACTGTTTAATTACCTCCCCTATATCTGTATGTTCCTCAGTTGTGATCCCTGTGTCAGCATTTATGTTGTTTCGTTTCCATTGTCCAGACGCTGTCGGTGTTTTGTTCCTGTCTGTTTTATCATTAAATGTTCTCCCTGTACTACGTCTGTCTTTACAGAATGCTGACAACCAATATTTGAGGCATCAGTTTTTTTTTTGTGTGTGTTGGTTGGTGACGTCGGGTCCGGGTGCCACGGCCGAGGGAACTGTTGATGCCTCAGCTGGCACATCATGCTTCCATCGCTTTGCTGGCTCAAGAGGTTTCTTGCCTCGGTTGGCTCGGCAGGCTCCCACCCCACGCCTCAGCCGGCTCGTCAGGCTCCCACGCCTCAGCCGGCTCGTCAGGCTCCTCCGCCTCAGCTGGCTCATCAGGCTTACACGCCTCAGCTGGCTCGTCAGGCTTCCACGCCTCAGCCGGCTTGTCAAGCTTCCACGCCTCAGCCGGCTCGTCAGGCTTCCACGCCTCAGCCGGCTCGTCAGGCTTCCATGCCTCAGCTGGCTCGTCAGGCTTCCACGTCTCAGCTTGCTCGTCAGGATCCCACGGCTCGGCCGGGCATCTCAGACTCAACAGGTTCCCGCTCCTCTGCCGGCTCTTGAGGCTCCCATGCATCGGCCGGCCCGGCAGGCTCGACAGGTTCCCGCGCCTCGGCCGGCTCGTCCAGCTCCCATGCCTCGCCAGCCCGTACTGTCACGCCTGCTCCCGCTCGCCCTCTCTGGTGCTCGAGGGCACCAGGCTGCCCATCATTACGCACACTTGTCACCACCAAGTCATTGGACTTCATCGCTGTTTAATTACCTCCCCTATATCTGTATGTTCTTCAGTTGTGATCCCTGTGTCAGCATTTATGTTGTTTCGTTTCCGTTGTCCAGACGCTGTTGGTGTTTGTTCCTGTCTGTTTTATCATTAAATGTTCACTCCCTGTACTTGCTTCTCGTCTCCCAGCGTCTGTCCTGACATTACCAGGACGTGAACTCCAAGCGTGCGCTGACCAACTGGCAAGTGTCTTCACTGACATTTTCAACCTGTCCCTGACTACCATAGTAGGCAGACCACCATAGTTCCTGTGCCCAAGAACACTAAGGTAACCTGCCTAAATGACTACCGACCCATAGCACTCACGTCTGTAGCCATGAAGTGCTTGGAAAGGCTGGTCATGGCTCACATCAACACCATTATCCCAGAAACCCTAGACCCACTCCAATTTGCATACCGCCCCAACAGATCCACAGATGATGCAATCTCTATTGCACTCCACACTGCCCTTTCCCACCTGGACAAAAGGAACACCTATGTGAGAATGCTATTCATTGACTACAGCTCAGCGTTCAACACCATAGTGCCCTCAAAGCTCATCACTAAGCTAAGGACCCTGGGACTAAACACCTCTCTCTGCAACTGGATCTTGGACTTCCTGGCGGGCCGCCCCCAGGTGGTAAGGATAGATAACATCACATCTGCCACGCTGATCCTCAACACGGGGGCCCCTCAGGGGTGCGTGCTCAGTCCGCTCCTGTACTCCCTGCAGGCCGTACTCCAACACCATCATTAAGTTTGCTGACGAAGCAACAATGGTAGGCCTGATCACCAACAACGATGAGACAGCCTATAGGGAGGAGGTCAGAGACCTGGCCGTGTGGTGCCAGGATAACAACCTCTCCCTCAACGTGATCAAGACAAAGGAGATGATTGTGGACTACAGGAAAAAGAAGAGGACCGAGCACGCACCCATTCTCATCGACGGGGCTGTAGTGGAGCAGGTTGAGAGCTTCAAGTTCCTTGGTGTCCACATCACCAATAAACTATCATGGTCCAAACACACCAAGACAGTCGTGAAGAGGGCACGACAAAGCCTATTCCCCCTCAGGAGACTGAAAAGATTTGGCATGGGTCCTCAGATCCTCAACAAAATCTACAGCTGCACCATAGAGAGCATCCTGACTGGTTGCATCACTGCCTGGTATGGCAACTGCTCGGTCTCCGACCGCAAGGCACTACAGAGGGTAGTGCGTACGGCCCAGTACAACACTGGGGCCAAGCTTCCTGCCATCCAGGACCTCTATACCAGGCGGTGTCAGAGGAAGGCCCTAAATATTGTCAAAGACTCCAGCCACCTTAGTCATAGACTATTATGGTGGTGGTCCTCTGTAGCTCAGCTGGTAGAGCACGGCGCTTGTAACGCCAAGGTAGTGGGTTCGATCCCCGGGACCACCCATACACAAAAAAAATTATGCACGCATGACTGTAAGTCGCTTTGGATAAAAGCGTCTGCTAAATGTCATATTATTATTATTTCTGCTACCGCACGGCAAGTGCCTTCTTAACAGCTTCTACCCCCAAGCCATAAGACTCCTGAACAGCTAATCAAATGGCTACCCGGACTATTTGCATTGTCCCCCCCCCCCCTCTTTTACACTGCTGCTACTCTCTGTTTATTATCTATGCATAGTCACTTTAACTATATCTACATGTACATATTACCTCAATTACCTCAACTAACCTGTGACCCTGCACATTGACTCTGTACCGGTACCCCCTGTATATAGCCTTGCTACTGTTATTTTACTGCTGCTCTTTAATTATTAGTTGTTTTTATTGTTTACTTATCTATTTTTACTTACATTTACATTTTAGTCATTTAGCAGACGCTCTTATCCAGAGCGACTTACAGTTAGTGAGTGCATACATTATTTTATTTTTTTCATACTTGCCCCTCGTGGGAATCGAACCCACAACCCTGGCGTTGCAAACGCCATGCTCTACCAACTGAGCTACATCCCTGAAGTACATCCCTACTTAACACTTACTTTTCTTAAAACTGCATGTTGGTTAAGGTAAGTAAGCATTTCACTGTAAGGTCTACTACACCTGTTGTATTCGGCGCATGTGACAAATACAATTTGATTTGATTTGATTTGATTTGAAATAGTAGGGTTGAACATGCACAGGGAATCATGTTACTCATATTACAAATAGGTCAACAATGCTGGTCTAAAGTGATACCCATAACTGTTACAGTATGTGTCAATGGCAGTACACAGCTGAAGTTACAGGTAGTCTGAACACCAACTGTATCTCTCTGTTTCAGGGGTAAAGGGAAAAGTTGGCTCAACAGGTAAACGTGGCGAGCGAGGTGACCTGGGTCCAGGGGGGAAGAGAGGTCCTGATGGAGAAAGCGGAGACGGGGGCCTACCAGGGCCTCCAGGGCCCCTTGGGAAGAAAGGGGACAAGGGCCAGCGAGGACCACAGGGTACGGCAGGCATCTGCCGTTGTGGCAGCCTGGTGCCAAAAGCAGCCTTCTCTGTGGGAATCACCAGCAGTTACCCTGTTGAGAAGGAACCTATCAAGTTCAACAAGGTCCTCTTCAACGAGGGCGGCCACTACAACCCAGAGACGGGCAAGTTCATCTGCGCCTACCCGGGCATCTATTACTTCTCTTATGACATCACCCTGGCTAACAAACATCTGGCCATCGGGCTGGTGCAGAACGGGCAGTACCGCATCAAGACATTTGACGCCAACACAGGGAACCATGACGTGGCCTCCGGGTCGCTTGTGATGTTCCTGAACCCAGAAGACGAGGTGTGGCTGGAGATCTTCTTCAAGGACCAGAACGGCCTGTTTGCAGAAGCAGGGTGGTCTGACAGCCTGTTCTCTGGATTCCTGCTCTATGCAGACACCAACTACCTGGACTCACTAGCAGAGGACTACGCATAGTGACTTAATAAAGTCACTCAATAACACTACGCAACACTCAATAAAGGACTGAGAGGACTGAGTTTATAGCCTCCCCTTGACATATTTACAGTATCTATATTTCATCATGTATTATTTATATTCTATATAAATATGTGGGTGTGCATGTATGCAAGCGTGTGTGTATGAGCTTATGTATTGTGGCGTAAGAAACAATATTTGTTTGGTGTAATGTTTGTTTACAATGTTTCATGAATAAAATTGATGATATGCAATCAGACAGTAATGAATCTACCCTGTACTCTCTTTTCAAAAGTATTGAATAGTATTAGAGTTTAATACTATTAGAGTTTAATAGTATTAGAGTTTAAGTACTGTAGAGCCAGTGTGGAGATATTATATAAATGCTCAATACCAAGAGTGTAATGTAACACATGTTAGAAGATATGATATAAATGCTCAATACCAAGAGTGTAATGTAACACATTAGGATATATGATATAAATGCTCAATACCAAGAGTGTAATGTAACACATGTTAAAGTTATCATTAGATACTGACTGTAATAAACCAGTTCGTCCCTATCAGCACAATCATTACCCTTCACTATCTCTATAATATCCCACGCAACACTAGAGGTATGGCAGATAGTCTGACTCTGCAGCCAAGTAATCAAGTCATCTAATGCTACTACCCAGAGATTAGCATTGTGGTCTGGTCCATCTGATTGAGAGCAGTATGTGTTGAAATCTTCCCCATGTGTTTTTTGGCATGATTTAAGGAATCTTTGAAGAAATGTGTGTTCCTGTTATCATGTTTACCATCGGAGAAGACTGCTTCTCTCATCACATAAAAATTCTGTGGGTGGGTATGGAGGAGCTGTTACCTCATGAAAATGGAAATAAATATGTACAGACATGAGGTGTGTGTGTGTGTTATTAAACACAGAGAGACTAAAGATTTTTAAAACAAATGTTTTCTTGGTAATTTCTTTGTTGTTCTCTGGGTAGAAAAATCTAGCGAGCTCAGCCAGCCATTGACTAGGCCTTCAGAAGCTGGACAGAAGGCCTCTGCCATTCAACTGTATTAGAGCAGAATTTTGGAGTGACAGTGGAATGAACCAATCACATTTTGAATTGCAATGGGTGGGGCCATTTAAAAAAGAAAGTGACGTGTCTAGGCCTTTTAATTTTTTTAAATTTAATTTAACCTTTATAAACTAAGCAAGTCAGTTAAGAACAAATTCTTATTTACAATGACGGCCTAACCCGGACGACGCTGGGCCAATTGTGCGCCGCCCTATGGGACTCCCAATCACGGCCGGTTGTGATACAGCCTGGAATCGAACCAGGGAGTCTGTAGTGACGCCTCAAGCACTGAGATGCAGTGCCTCAGACCGCTGCGCCAGTCGGGAGCCCAGACACATCACTACTGAAAATAATCAGTGGTGCGAGCAGTAGTTTCCCACGCTAAAGCTAGTAATGTTAGCTAGCAAATGAGAGTAATGAACAGCTAAAGGATATCAAATGCTAAAATACTCTCAATGCTGACTAGCCATTTCACACCAGTTACACTCAACCCCCTTTTGACCTCCTCCTTTTCCGCAGAAACCAGTGATCCGGGTCAACAGCATCAATGTAACAGTGTTGCTTCCGTCCCTCTCCTCACCCTAACCTGGGCTTGAACCAGGGACCCTCTGCACACATCGACAACAGTCACCCTCGAAGCATCGTTACCCATTGCTCCACAAAAGCCGCGGCTCTTGCAGAGCAAGGGAAACAACTACTTCAAGGTCTCAGAGCGAGTGACGTCGCCGATTGAAACGCTAACTAGCTAGCCATTTCACACCGGTTACACTTTGCTTGGGTGGGCAAGGATGGGTAGGAATGGGAGGTTGGGACAAGCTTGGCTCAGGTGGGCAAGGGTGGGTAAGGATGGGATGGTGGGACAAGCGTGGCTTGGGTGGGCAAGGGTGGGTAAGGATGGGAGGTTTGGACAAGCTTGGCTTGGGTGTGGTAAAGGGAGCGGGAACTGGGAGGGGAGAAAACTGAGAGGGGAGGTGGAGAGGGATGGGTTTGGCTTGGGAGAGAGAGAAGGAAGGATTTAACCTTTCCAAATATCTCTAACGATTGCCCCAGCGTGAGTTTTTTATGCACGTGATGTCAGAATGGGTTCACTGTTCCAAAATGTGATTGTTATGCAACAGGACAGTTAATCCAAGACACACTGCCTGCTTTTATTTATAGGCTGTTTCAACTTGTCAATTTCAAAAGATTTTCTAATAAGTTTTATTTTCTAACAACAGTTTTAACTGAGGTGTGTTCCGCCTCCTCATTAATTCACATAAAAGTAGGCCATTTCACTTTTGCAGACAATTTATTTTTTAGGTATTACTGAGCCGGACAAACTTCTCCAAGCACTTCCCCATTGTTTCCACCGTTCAAGTAATCAGAAATGTGCGCATCTCCAGTCAGAACAGGACCTGCACAAACCTTTTCACATTTTCTGGCTGGTGCCCGCATTGCCTTCATTGTTGTTTTCCTTATTACATTATAATAACTTTGGACATATGTGCGTTTCTATCAAAGTAAGTGCCTTATTACGTTATAATAGTTTCTGTATGTCGTGTTATGTCGTTTCCACTGTAGCTCACTGTATGTATGGACCATAATATATTTGTGTATATTCCTTATAACCACAAACACACGAGGTACTAATTTCATAACCTTTATGGTGTTATACTCAATTGTGCTTATGTAGCTAGCTACATTCATATATTAGCTCTGTAAAACAATGCTAATTACGTCAGAGAAGTATTAGCTTGCGTTGTCTTTGGAAGCTATCATGTCCTTATGACCATGGTTTGTTTTCATTTGGCCTGTTTAGCATAGCTCTGTTCTGCCCTGCCCTGCCCCCTTGTGGAGCTCAACAGTTACTGTTTCTTACTGTTATATAACTCATATTTGTGATGTTGTCAATGCAATTTATTCTTTTTATAGCAGTGTCATTATGTTACTTCTTTGTAATATTGTTTTATTGCTTTGTCCTGATACTGTATTCTAATTACTAATAATTCTTTATTCTGTACTTTCAGAAACCTCACACACAAACAGTATTGAACATTATTGTAAAAGACTCCAGCCACCCTAGTCATAGACTGTTCTCTCTGCTACCGCACGGCAAGCGGTACCGGAGTGCCAAGTCTAGGTCCAAAAGACTTCTCAACAGCTTCTACCCCCAAGCCATAAGACTCCTGAACAGCTAATCATGGCTACCCGGACTATTTGCACTGCCCCCCCACCCCATCCTTTTTACGCTGCTGCTACTCTGTTAATTATTTATGCATAGTCACTTTAACTCTACCCACATGTACATATTACCTCAACTAGCCGGTGCCCCCGCACATTGACTCTGCAACGGTACCCCCTTGTATATATAGCCTCCCTACTGTTATTTTATTTTACTTCTGCTCTTTTTTTTCTCAACACTTTTTTTGTTGTTGTTTTATTTTTACTTTTTTGTTAAAAATAAATGCACTGTTGGTTAAGGGCTGTAAGTAAGCATTTCACTGTGATGTCTGCACCTGTTGTATTCGGCGCATGTGACCAATAAAATTTGATTTGATTTGATTTGATGCCAATATCATAACTGGAACTGGACATCTTTTGAGCTGAAGATTGAGGCCAGCTTTTGTATGCTAGCAACATACTGTTTGAACGTAAACTCCTTAACAGTTTTACTAGATGAAAACACAGCAAGAAAACACAGAGGCCTATATGTAATAGTTGTAAAGTATTGGTGGTGGTTGAACAACAACAACAAAAACTTGTTTTACTAGAGGGAAAAAAACTGCAAGAAAAGACTGACAACTTATGCATAACCCATATTTCATATTCATGCAGTGATTGAACAACAACTGCATTTCCACCCCCCACCTCTAAAGGCATAGTATCATGGTAGGTCACCTGTCAAGTCACCTGTCAAGTCAGTGCTCAATAGTGCCTGAGCATACGGTACTCCCCAAAGCATGGTGAAACACATAGAGGTGTGTCACAAGCTAAGCACATGTACTTTGTCAGCCTCCTCTGCTTCCTTCTCCTGGTGCCAGAGAGGCAGACTTTGCAGTGCCTCCATGTGCGACTGCCTTGAGCAGCAGTTTGACGGACTTTGCAGGGAAAATGCAGTGCAGTGAGGCATAGGGGATAGTCTGCAGCAGGACGGCCCCCAGTGGATGGGTGCCGAGGGGTGTGGTGTAGGGGATTGTCTGCAGCAGGACGGCCCCCAGTGGATGGGTGCCGAGGGGTGTGGTGTAGGGGATTGTCTGCAGCAGGACGGCCCCCAGTGGATGGGTGCCGAGGGGTGTGGTGTAGGGGATTGTCTGCAGCAGGACAGCCCCCAGTGGATGGGTGCCGAGGGGTGTGGTGTAGGGGATTGTCTGCAGCAGGACGGCCCCCAGTGGATGGGTGCCGAGGGGTGTGGTGTAGGGGATTGTCTGCAGCAGGACGGCCCCCAGTGGATGGGTGCCAAGGGGTGTGGTACTCCTCCAGCAACTCTCTCATTAGGTTTTCTCTGTACTTTTGGTAGGTAATTACTTTACATATGGGTGAGAGGGTTTAAGGGTTGGGGTGAGGTGTGACCCAGGTGCGGTGAAGGATATACAGTAGGCAGTAGGCAGAGATGGTGAAACAAGAATCTTTACTGGTGGTCCCGAAGCCAAAATACAAAATGACGGACTTATCACGATAAAAGAAAGGTGGCGCAAATAAGTCTCCAAAAACTGGCTGACAACCAAAATACAAAATACTACCCAATACTGAAACAAATAACGAAACAGGGAGAATACTTCTCAAGTACCTGTACATAGATCTCCGATCAGACACTGAGTACTACTGCTGAGAAACTAGCAGAGAAAACTGAGCAAGGAAACACAGGGAAGTGAGGGCATAAAAGCTGTTAATTCCACAAAGCTGTTAATCATGTCCGCCTTATCCACTGCCCCCATTTTGAGGTTATAGTCAAGC